CACAAATCGACGGGTGCCGTATATAAAGATATAAAATCCAATGCACGTTTAGAATAGAATATATAAAGATGGCGGCCCGTGGATTAACTACCTCTTCAATCTAGCATCACCCATGTGACGTAAAAATGCATTGAAAACGCGACGTCATTTTGGATAGCAGTGTTATGCGGAATACTATGCAGGAACTTACAGCTATAATACTAAATATACATATAATATATATATATATATATATATATATATATTATTATATATATATAAATACTATACAGATTACTAACAGGCATTAACATATTATACATCGTCTTACCATTCCTGCATGCTACTGAAATGATCTGTGCTGACTCACTCATCGTAACACTATGAGCTACTAACGCCTGTAAATAATCATTCGTAAAATTCACCACTGTTTACTGCCTTAATCTAAATTACTTACTTAATTACACTTACTTTTATTTTTAATTCTAATTTTAATTTTTCTTAAATTAAAATCGCTTACCCAGAAACTCCGTCGTTCTCTCTATCATTGCTCTTTCTTTGCTTCTGTTCCAGCCGAGGAAGCTTGGTAGTCCGTAGTCGGCTATCGTTGAGCAGCCAGCGATGATCGACGAGACAGTTGGTCGACGTGTGTGTGTAACGAACAACCGCTCCTTCGTAAAGAATATACGCCCTCACTAAATGGTTAACATATACTACTAATAATAAAAATATTAATAATAATAATTATTAGTATTATTATTATTATTATTATTATTATATTAATATTAATAATAATAATAATAATAGCTTTAAAACATCGAGTGATGTGCTCGTCGAACCATCATGAAGTCATAGCAGTGGATCTACGTCCCTTAAAGACGGTCCAAGCTTCACACATCTAATGCACGTAGGCAGGGTTGCCGTACTAGAATGCTACGTGTAACAATATATCCTAGCGATGTTCCTATGCTGGTGTGGGATAGCAAATGTGTGGCCGCGTTACAGTACCTTCAGGTTGCCATGAGACTGAAGGTGGCTCTTGTGCAAGTATTCCATTCCCGACACAAGGTCCATTAGAAAGCTGTACTTGAAGTTATTGTCCAACATGATGTCGTCGTTCTCTATTATATCCTAAACAGATGTGTCGCGACAATTATCACGCACACATGCGCGCACACACACTCACGCGCACACACACACACACACACACACACACACACACACACACACACACACGACGCACACACACACCACCACACACACACGCACACACACGTACACACACACACGCACCACACACAGCACACACAACCACACACGACATTCACACACACACACACGCACCACACACCACACACACGCACACACACGTACACCACACACACACACACACACACACACCACACACACACACACGCACACGCGCACGCGCACGCGCACGCACGCGCACGGCGCACGCGCACGCGCACGCGCCCACGGCGGCAGCGCGCACGCGCACGCACACGCAAAACACGCCACACGCCTCACACGCACACGCCCAACACGCACACGCCACACGGCACACGCAACGCACACGCACACGCACACAACAACACACACGCCACATGTACATTGTCTATATTGCTATAGCTATAACCTTATTGAGCCTGCTGTCAGCAGCTTGATATCTGTCATAGTGAAGATTTGCATTGCATTACCACGAGGCTTGCCTTTGCGACAATTATTCCCAGACCAGACAGAGTGTTGGCGGATCAACGACGGCGCCATGAATTTGTTCCAGGTTATCGTGGATCACATCCTTCATCTGCAAACAAAACACACCACGTGCGAGGAAACCCCGGCCAAGATGAAACGAGCCTTGCGCTACATATCATTCGTTCAATATCGGTTTTCTTAGAAACTCTACTCACTCTCACTTCCATTTTCTTTCTTTTTATGAATCGTATCATCATTATATCGGATTTCATCTAAAAACGCACAAAGTCTCGTGTATACTTGTCAATATGTGTCAATATCAAAATTCTTAATAGCCTCAATCCAAATTATTCTAATAGACGCAGTAATATTCGTATTGCATAATCTGGCTTCAATCACTCATCTTTCTATTTGCTAGCCCAGCATTCGCTTTAGAATCGTCGCATCGTCGTTATAGTCTTTATCCCACGGAGATGGGCGCTAGCGGGGGATCATCGCAATGTACCAATTTGTGGGTACTTCCGCGAGGATGTTCCAAAGAAGTGAAAATAATAGAAAAACGGCCGCGAAAGAGAGACACGCGCGGGGAAACGGCCGAGGCAGCTGTGTTTGTCTTTATTGCAGTCTTATTTGCAAATAATCTTATTGTCAGTCGGGATTTGTGTATGATTAGGCATCAGTGCTTGTCGTTACGGAGTATACTCCGAGTCACTCCGATCGTCGGTCGCCCACACGCACACGCCTCTAAACGGGTCTCTCCAACAACAGATTCACACACACACACCGACTACCACTACACGCACACACACTAGCTATACACAACCACGACAACATACACACACACACGTCGCCAGCACACACAACACACACACACACGACACACACACACACACAACATGCGCCGCACCCCGGCGGCCGCTGCGCGCACGCGCGGCAACACCACACACACTCCCCGACTCGGCGTTAGCCACACACACAGGTTACTAAGTAGTTAACTCAACTAAACATCACTACGTGTACGAGCTATCCAAGAGCTACTTAAATCCAATATATGAATAGACTACACCATCCAGGTGCGTATGCGTACAAACTACAAGGTCACTATAAAATCTACGAACACTACTCACTGATCACCGGAATGACACTATACACTCACTGAATAACAGCTCCTAGTAGGCCTCGAGTAAAGTAGAGAATAAAGTAGACGTTACGGCGTTACGAAAGAAGCTACACTCGTGTTTGAAAATAATGTCAGACGGAGACATTCTATATAGTGTATTACTTAGTATTAGTGTTCTGTATGCCGTTATTAGCTGTATGTAAGCTGTAGCTGTAGCGCGTACGCTGTCTATGTAGCTGTAGCGGTAGCGGTAGCTGTATGCATGTAGCTAGTATTGTAGTATGCTAGCTGCTATGCTGTAGGCATGTAGAATAGTGTATGTGTATGTTAAGCTGGTTGGGAACCTACAGTGCATTGTGATACATATATAGCGCGTGAGTGTGCCGCCAGACACATCGGTTTGGTGAACGTGCCTTGCTAAACACCTCGCGTTACTATGAGCTACGGTTTAAGCCACTAACGCCTGACACGGTTGCGGGTTTTTCCTCAACAATTTGCCATTCGCCCGCGCAATACGAGCTTCCGCACCATTTTGTACACCAGGGTCGCCAGCCACGCGAAGGACGACGCTCGTTAGACAGTCTACGCTATAGCGAAAGTGCATCTGCTGATGAACAGTATGGCTGTAGGCCCTACCACTAAGAGTGTAGTAATCTATACGTAAGTCTATTTATGCGTAGTAAGTGTATATGTACGCTGTAGCACATTTTGATACCACCAGGGCGTCCGCCAGACGCCGAGGACGACGCTCGTTAGACAGTCTAGGGCTATAGCCGAGAGCTTCTTGATCTGCTTACTTTCCGAACGTATTTTATGATGTATAGGCCACCTGGGCGTTTATAATCGCCTTGTAGTGTGATCGCTTAGTCTCTGCATGTTACGGTGGCCGTGATGTGAGTCTTACGCGTCGAATCGCCGCCGCGGACGATCGGATGCGAAGACGGTGCCACTGTCGCGGTGACCTGTTGTAGATGTCAGTGGAGCAGGCGGCGTATATAGCAAGAGGTATCTACATAAATAACTTAAACGACTTCTATGTACTCTACTTATTACTGCCTACTGGTTGCACTTTGCCAATCACTCTCTCCCTCGCAGCCGCACCCCCACCTCCCCTTCTGCTATCTCTCACTGGACACCGAACGCGCCCCCCCCCCCTCTTTTCTCAGCGCTCGGGCTTGTTTGTACATGCCTCCGGCGCCCTCGTCGCGCGATCCTATGCCATCGAATGACGTCGGAGTAACGCGCCCTGTTCAGGCGTGGCGCGGCCGACACACGGCCCAACCGTGACCAGTATACACGGCAATCGCTAGTAGTCGAGTTCGGGTAGTTAGGCGCATCGAGACGAGAGAGGGGAAAACGGTTTACTAGTGGTCCAGTGACCAGCTGATCGCGCGTTAGCAGCGCACGAGCAACTGCGGAAGCGAGAGGCCAGGCTGAAGAAGAGGAGTCTGTCAGCGCACCGCCGTGCTTGACACCGAACTTGCTTGGAGCGATTGCGCTCAGGCTCTGTCAGCCTGAACAGCAGTAGTAGCGGAGGAGCGAGACGCCTCGGCGGCGCCTACGGAGCATCGCGTATTTGATGGCAACTGCGGTTCAGTGCGGGACGGTGGAGCCAGCAGCTAGACATAGAAGCAGCCAGGCAGTTGCCTGACAACAGAGCGTCATCGAGCTTGGCGGGCGCCTCTGAAAACCTGCCTCCCACGCGGATGCAGCATGAAAGTCGTAAAGTCGGACTGGATGACTGGCGATGAGTGTGAGCTGTACGCATGGGCAGAAAGTGCAGCCGCCAACTTGCCAGAAGAAACACTTGTGATCCAGCGCGGAACAATTGCCGCACGCCGGGCAAGGAATAAAGCCGTCAGGAGGCCGGTAGAAGGGAGATGGCGACACCCCGCGCGGGGAATCTACGGAAGCACTCGCCCCCCACATGAAGTTGGCAGCCCCTATCTCTGTGGCGCTGCGTTGAACCCGTGCCGCCGCACTGGGTAGTTTTCTTGCAGGCACAGCTTTGCATTACGCTCGTGGAACCAGTCGGGATCCAGTCGAGCGCCGCAGAACAGCTTGCGGGCGGCTCTCGTGGCGCCGCGCGGCATGCTCTGGCAGAGTACGCCAGGGAGTGCCCAGACGAGGAGTGCCTCCGTACGAGAACTCCAGGAGAGAGGTATGCGACGGCTTTGCCGAGAAGAGCAGAGACCAGGCCCCTATCCTCGCCCGGCCGTCGTCTCTCCGAGGAGTCAGGGAGCTGGCTCCGAGTACGCCGAGACAGCCTCGAGAGAGAACTGGCCGGTCCGGCGCCATCGCGTAGGCGCCGGCAATTTCAGAGCACCCTCCAGTCGATGGCTCAAGCGGCGAACTTGTGATGAACTAGCCCCAGAGGGCACGCGCGTATATCCTGAGCAAGGATGTACGACCATCGAAGCCAAGCTTGCAGCATGTTACCACCGACTATGACATGCTGGTGCGTGCGGCGGCCGGTCCACGCTGAGAAGCCCAGCTTGTGCAACCGAGGCGTGGCGAAAAATCGAGGGAAGCCATGATGGGGCAGAAAATGCGCAGCGCTGTTCCTGCTCCGAGATTCAAAGCCAGATGTTAAGAGCACCTCTCTGAGCATAGTGGCAGGCGACCTCGGGCGTCAACGCCGGCGTCTCTCTGCAGCGCCAGGGCCGGATATCGTAATGTCTGGTTTACACTAATCGATTTTTGTCAGCAAATCGCTACCGATTTCAAGCTTTGGAAACCACACAATCACCGGTCCCAACACAATGGGCTGAAATTCGCATTGCTGTTGGAGAGTGTCGGCAGGTCGGAGCACAAGTCCGCTACGAGTTGGCTCGAAAATTAGAACGTGCTTCTATTTTGCTCGCATTCGCGATTCGTGAAATCTTCGGCCCGAGTTCGCCGATAAACTCTAATTGGCCGTAAAAACTTTCACGTGCATACCTAGTCAAACAATGGGCGGCCGCCTCTCGAACAACACGGACAAAACCATGCGCATTTATAGATTTATTGAAGAAAACGAATGTTTAGCTTGCGCTGTTGATTCGCCGGCCCGTAGTAGAAGTAGAAGTAGTTAGAGTTACAAGAATCGTTGATAAGCTGCAAAAGGGGTAGCGTGTGAGAGATAGCTCGTGAGCTGTTGGATAGAAGGCGGCTAAGTTAGTTAGCGTCTAAGAAATTAATCGCGTACGATTTGCAACCTGACAAAATTCGGCATAGTGCTAAAACAACAGCCTCAACAACCAACTTCTATGTGGAGTCAAGTCCGGGGCGCAAAGTTGGGAGTCGCTTGACAATCGCCACGATTTGCCCCTGACAAAAATCTGCATAGGTGGTCAATACGCTGAGCCTAGGAGCGAAGGTCCATAGGGGTCAGCGGACAGCAGCACCAGTGGACCCTGCCCTACATTGCCGGAGAGGTGGCCACTTTCGCCGCCGAGAGTGCCCGGAACGGAGGAGACGCTTGGCGAGAGTTCGCGGAACGAGAGGAGACGACCGGCAGAGAAGCTCGACGATAGTGAATGCGGCCACAGCAGTACAAGTGCGGAAGCTTGATTGCACAGGTCCGTAATGAGCTGCAGGCCGATGAAGGAATGTAGATGCGAGGCAGGCGCCACGACAGAGCCACATGTGCAGGAAGGTGGGACAGCTTCGGAGTCATTTACAGAAGCAGCCAGGCGGCCAGGCACAGACGCGTCAGCGCCGTCCGATAGAGACGCTGGGACCAGGGACAAACTCCAAGCTGAAGCAGAAGCAACGACCGATGCCAGAGTCAGATATCTCAGCCTGACACGGCCGGAGGTGCGGTAAACTGCAAGGCGCCCTGAACGCACGCACAAACATGGCTCATGCGACGCATCAGAACCTCAAGATCGATCAGCAAGGAGACGTGAGTGAACCAGAGAGTAAGTGTCGTTGCTAGTGCGGAGAGAGCCTACCATGAGATGAGGGCCAGCATCTCTCTCAGCGAACGGAGGTTGAGCACAGCGGAACTGCAGCCGCTAAGCGTGAGTGAGAGGTGAGCCCTACATAAATGAGCGTAGTAGCAGCCGACTGTGCACGGGCGACTCCGAGCTGAAGCGAAGGCCAACGCGCTCACGACTGCCGCCC